GTACCCAGCCTCGGGACGTGGACCCAGCTTTCTTGGAGGCCTAACTCTTTCGTAGAATCAACATTGAAAAATAGGGATAAGTATCCTTAATTAAAAATCATTGAACTAATGCTCTGAATTAGCGCACCTGATGAGATGATGTTCAATATTTGATGTAGTCGTGATACGGGTCCCTGTAATAGCTTCAGTGTGTTATATTGTCATGCTTTACTAGGTTAACGAGCTCTGTCTGTTTTAATTATTAACTTTACCTCGTACAACTAATAGGATGGGGTCCTGTTCACTGCAATAATTGAAATGCTAACATCATAATGGAGGCTATAATTATAAATCGATCAGGTCAATAAAACTTAAGATTTAATTATGGAGACAGTTGTTTGACTTATCATTGTATGATTGAATGTTGTGTTCCGTCCACTCAGAGTACTCATGGTCAGTGGTCACATTTGATGGGTCAGCCATTAAAACTGGACAGCACTTACTACTGACTAACTGATAGGGATGATGATAAAATTACATCTGAGTACAAGTAACCCCAAAACTAATTATGTTAGAGTTTTTAACAGTGGTGTCTCAAATCACTTTCCTTCCCAAAATATCATACTTGGCAATTAACTCTTCCTATTAGGACAGAGACTCCCACTTTTGCACCCTTAAATTTAGTATTTTCAACCAGTGAATTTGCTTAACTATTCTTATTTTCTAAGATCTGATGAAACAGCTCAAACGATGCCATTAAAAAGTGTTAATTTTCACTAGGGTGTACATATACACACGTTGTATTTGGGCATTGAATTCTTAGCATTTGTAATCTCTCCTGTGGAAATTTCACAAAGTTGACAAGTATGGAATATATATTGTATAGTTACTCCCTGCAACAGCTACTATTCAGTTATACACATAATAACACTGAATCTTTTATTTCAGTAAAAATCCTTCTTATAATTGCTTTCTGGAAAGATTTTTTGGACGATTTTTGTGAACTTTCAATTTAGTTTTAAGTGTTATATCACATTTTTTTTTATATTTGTACCCAAAGGTAATTCAAGTCCGAGATGGACAAGTTTGACCGGATACTGAGCTTAATGTATAGCTGATGAGTGTATAATATAAACACGCCCCATGAGGCTCCGTGGAATGTTACCAACGTAATAACATCTATTGTCATGGTTACAGAGACTGCAGACGCGTCTATACAGGACGAGGGAGGAGATCCCGGTTCTGCCCACGCCGAGACGCGCCAGAGTAAAAGGGCAAGGTCAACGCTTGAGACCGTCAAGGAATCCGACCTCAACGGCGAGTTTGATGACGCTTATGATCTCACCGATGAGAGTTCATGGGTAAGTGTAAGGAGACAACATATACAGGTTATAAATAGATTTATCATAAAAATATACATAGCCCGTGTCTGAGTGAATAATAAGATAAGAAATGTTGACCTTTATTTGTAAAAAATACACCAAAAAAACATTCATTTTCTCAAAGTCTGGTTGCAAAATTAATGTAGTTCAACTGAAAGGTGATTTTACTGCCAATAATAGAAGTAATTTCACTGTGATGTCTTCTGGAAACTCATAAAATGTCTATCTTTATATAAAGTAATATTTAACTACAAAATTGTGTTAGTTTGCTGTTTCTTAAGGAACTGATTTGAAAGTTTCTAGCATCAAAAGTATATTTCATGATGATTGTTTTTAATACACCCATCAGAAAATGTGATGGAACTTGCTCATCATCAACAGTACAAAGTCCAAGGATAGGTTTTTATGCGCCTATATATGGTGCTCTTGTTAATCTATTTTTATTTATTTATTTATCGATTGTAAACTAATTTCCTCGTGTTTACAGGCTATGGTTCCCGTGGAGACTGTACCAGGTCGCTTTTTACAATACCGTAAAATGGTAAGTATCCTGTGAGGATGTGTGAGTAATGTCACCTGTTATAATTCCACATCAACTCAGAGAAATGAGCAACTAATTACTGTAAAAGTGGAAATGTTCTCATTGTGACCCTTTCAACTTATTTGGGATGTTGACACTGACAATAGTTCTGAAATCTGTATGTACACTGTATTATATTTACCTATAATCGATATAAATTATAAATAAATATAAGCCTGTCGATATTTTCATGCTAATTTACTCTAACACCCAAAAAAAATGAAAAAAACATTTCCACATCGTGAAAATTTCCGCATATACTGTACCTGAAAAGAATTCAAGACTTTTTACTTGATAATACTATAAATTGGAACAGATATTAAATACATCACTTTTCCCTTAAACTCGACCTGAAATATGCTACCTTAATGAATTGAAAAATGTTGACTGTTATTTTCTTTCCTACACAGACCATCAGGAAACTGTCAGAGGTCGAGGAACAGCTGGGACTGACGGTGGCTAAAACCCAGAGAAAGGTCACGACCTTGAAGTCTCAGTTCCAGGAACACAAGAGCAAGTGGGAAACAGTAAGGGCTAATGTCTACTGATAAACCCTACAGGTCTACATAGACTGGTCTAAATCTAAGGGTGGCTTATTCCATTATAGAAAATTAGGAGTTATACATACATGTCAACCTCTGGACCCTCTAGGAGACAGTTTTGTCCCTCAAAGCGAAATCCAAGAGAGGGATCCAAGTGTGTGAACCATTTTCGCACTTTTGTATTATGAGTAAATTGCAAATTTACAAGAACGAATGAAAAAGAATATTATCAATTCAAAGCAATATATGTATATGATTACCCATTGTCATTTTTCATCCCCTGTGATCCTTCAAGGAGAACAGGTCTGGAATACTTAAGCCTGATTTTCCCCTTCAATGTTAACAGTGTTTACCTCACTTTCCTAATTCTGGTTATCTTAGAAGTTCTATGAATGTCAAAAACAAAATATGTGTAGATAAAATATTCACTTTTGTTGCAAATCGTGTACAAAATGTTAACTTGATTATTCCTGTCATTAAGCTTGTGGAAAGTATAGGGAAAGTGAAAGTGGCTGATATTTTGTAGGAGAGAAAGGTACTGATAGAACAAGT